CACAGGTGTGAGCTGAAGGAGGACGCCCGTGAGAAGGACGGGAACTTGTACTGCCTGCGCTGTCACGACAAAATGGGCATCCCGATCTGTGGCGCGTGCCGTCGGCCCATCGAGGAGCGGGTGGTGCACGCTCTGGGCAAGACCTGGCATGTGGAGGTGAGCACAGCACGCGGTGTTTCAATTGTCTTAAACAGACAGTCCCCCATTGTGGAGGGGACATATGGCCACTGTCTTAGGTGGAGGTCTTACACAGTGTCATTATGTGGGAAATGAACAAGCAGACAAACTCGCGAGCAATGCACCTGTCAATACTGACACTGAAATTAAAATGTTCAAAAATGATGTCATGAAGGCCCTTGCCACCACCACACTTGCAGATGAGGAGATTGAGCACGACTATGCGTCAATCTTACGACTTGAAGAACTGGGTGTCTTCAGAGGAAGTGGCAGAACCAGCATGGTACAGGGGATGGAAAGACAGGCTATTAACCAAATGAACACAGGAACAATCAGCAGATGGACTCTGAGGTTGATATTGGAGCGGGGAGCGGAGCACGTATGGCAATGCCCAGAGTGCTTTGATGTTGTTCCCAGGATCAAGTAATCAAATTATAATGTGTATAAAAAAAGCCAAAATCAAATTCCACCTTAAAACAAACTCCGGGGGAGGGGGAGGGTCTGTCAGAAGTAGCAGTTTGTGGAGATGATTGTCAAATACAAGTGGCTGTTAACCCCTTCACTGCCGGCTATGAGCTACTTAACTGTGCCGGGGAAAATTGCTCCAATTACTACAAGCGTCACATTGAGCCCCTAACTCAGAAACTCAATAGAAAACATTATCATCGCTGTTGCAGTCATTCATACTTTCGTCTAGAACTTCTGCAGCTAAAAATGAAGGTCGATAGACTGGTTTGTTGGATGCCATTGCGAAAAGCAAAAAAAAAACGAAACGTAAACACAACTCAAAACGTCAACACTTCACTTCTTCAAAACAATGAAAATGCCGCTCAGATTCACGGGAGACTACTGTATTATCAAAGAGGATTAGTCGTGACACAGTTTTGTCCCTTTAAACAGTGAAAAATTACACAAAAAATGACTTCATCATAGGCCCGCCGAATTAGCGGGCACATGGCACAGGGAAGCACTTCTTGGCCTGATGAATCAGCGGGCCGTGGCAGTGAAGGGTTTAAAGCAGATTTGGCTTGACTGTATTTAAACCTGTGTAGACCTGAATGGTTTCATGGTGGGTACTAATCACACAGAAGGATGATTCCTTTCTCTCCGTTCAGTTTTTTTTCTAAATATTGGTCATTTTGATGTGGTTTACTTCTTTTTTAGTTCTTTTTTTTTTTTTGTGGTCATAATCTGCTCTGGTTATTTTGATGTGGGACAAGTTTGACTGTCTACAACTAAATGTTCTGTCTGTTGTCTTGATATTGTCAAGTGCTTTGACCTTGCTGTTGAGCGGAAGTTTGTGCTATACAAATGCTATTACTGTTATTATTATTATTATTATTATTAATGTTATATTTTTCCCCTTGGTGGTAAGACGATTGCCTTGATGATATGCATCTTTTTATTACAGAGTAGGTCATCATGTGGTTTGTAAATGCTGTCTTTTTGTGTGATCCTTCTCTTTATTTACAGTGGCTTTCTCATAGCACAAGTAGTTGTAGGGTGCCACTGGTATGTCCTCCTTTTTCGTTCTCCCTGTATTATTTCTGTCATCTGCCTTTTCTTTTGCCCAAATCAAAATGATTGTTATTGTGTCAATGTGGTTCTCTTTGCTCCAACAAATTTCTTCACATTGTCTCTCTCTGACTGAATGTATCTATGCTTGTTCTGATGGCTTGTGTACTCCCAACTCATTAACAATAAGCATGTTATTTTAAATTCTTTTTATGTAATGCATAATGTTAGCAAGCCGTTCAGCTGTGATTCTGTATATCCCCAGCACTTTGTGTGTGCCAAGTGTGAGAAGCCCTTCTTGGGTACTCGCCACTACGAGAAGAAAGGCTTGGCCTATTGTGAGATCCACTATCATCAGGTAAAGGCACCAGTGTTGGGGGTTGATTTTACTGCATCGTCTAGTGTTGTTATGTAACAGAGGTTTATCTGCATGTCCTCAAAGGGGTTTTATTCTTAAGTACCTACACCTCATGGTATGTATAAATCAAAAGCTTGACAACAAAATTATTGGACAAACTTGATTTTACTGTACGTGTGCTTATTAACCAAAACAGACTTTTTAAATCAATCTGAAATTTCTTGGGGCGGGCTGAGAATGTCAACTGTGATTGATGTTTCTGGAAATTTGAATCCAAAACATTTTTTGCGCCCCACATTTTATATGGTGACGAGGAGATTACGTCATTTTACATCTTTTTAGGATAACTCAGTAAGTTATAGAAATCTTCCAGTCTCAGTGACATCTCTTTATGGAGTCTACTACATTTACAAACATGGTTTTATCAGTCTCGAGACATACTTTAAAAAAGAAAATACTGGCAGTAGAACATGGTTGCTTGGATCACCTGTGTGTTTGGATTAATTATGTTGGTCTGACAGCTGGGATACAAATAATAGGATTTCCTTGCTATAGAAAGCACTGGAGCATCAGGAGGAAATTCAGAGTAAGATGTGGGTGGTGCACAGATACTGTGGTGTGGTTTGTTGTCAAACATCTATCATCCTTATCTCCCCTTCTCCAAGTCTTTATTTGTATGTTACTCTCTTAGTCTCTAGTAACACTTTTAATCTTCAACACTTATATATATGACCTATTTGTGTTGCAAGTGCTGTAAAACTTTTACTGAGAGTTAGATGGTGGTTTGTGTCTGAGGCTATCAATGTGTCCATCACATTTTGATTGTCACGTCTATATGAGGCATTCCAGTATACTGACTTTGTTTATAAAGAAAGTGTGATAGGTTCAGATGCTATGTTCTGTCAGGAAATAGATAAATGTAAATGATTCAGGATTGCCCAACACGATTTCTTGATGAAAGTATGCTCTTGTCTGTACCTATGTCTGCATTCTAAGCTCTTATACAGATGTCTAGAATCTTGGCTCGCACAAATTAACTAATGTTGCTGTTATTGTTTTTCCTTTTCTTCCATCTGATCAGCTGTTTGGCAACATCTGCTTCGTGTGCAACAACATCATCAATGGGGATGGTAAGTGTTGATAGGTTGTATAGATAACTATTGTCTATCTATGTTGTGTGTGTGTGTGTGTGACCATGGGTCTGTTTGTGAATGCAAACATGAATAATGTGTGTATGTGCTTAGTTGTATGGGGAAGAGGGGATGTATGAGGGAGTGCTTCCCAAGAAGTAGAGATTGTTTCAGAATGCTATCAGGTCTACTTGTGGAAATGATATAGATTGTAAAGCATATAGAGCTTGCTGTTGAGCAGGAATTTGTGCTATACAAATGCTATTTATTCTTATTCTTTTTCTTTTTATTATGATGTATGGATGGGTGCATGTGTTTGGTAAAATACCTAACCAATGTGCCAGTATCTGATTTGTAGAGATTTTTGTTCTTTGTTTGTTCTTTGTTACCTGTATAAAGTGGGCTCTAACAAATATTTTGACTTTTCAGTGTAAAGGCTCCATTATACGCCACTTTTTAAAATGGTGTATGGAGGAGTCTTATACGAAGCAGTCAGTTCTATTGTTTGTTCAGTGAACTGAGAGCGGTGTGTTGTTGTGTTTTCCCCAGTGTTCAGTGCGTTCAACAAGGCCTGGTGCGTCCACCATTTCGCCTGCTCCATCTGCGACAAGAAAATGAGTCAGAAGTAAGTCAGGGTCACACTGTTCACACAACTTCTCTTCATTTTACATTTTGAGAAATATCCTTCGTTGCTCTTAGTTTCACTTTTTTTAAAAATATCCTAAGTTGTCTTTTAGTCTTGTTGACATTTTCGTTGTGTCATTCCCTCCCCCCCTCATCTTTCATGTTGTTTCTCTTTCGGCGACTCGTTTGCGTGTTTAACCCTATCGGTACGCCATGGGGTCATTTTGCACCCCCTGGGTTGTATTCTTCACATTTTAGAATACTTCTAGTACAAAGATCTCTTTGAAACTTTCAGTATTTCTCAAAAAATCATTTTGACTGGCTGTTATGCAAAGCGTACGGATCGGATTAACGAGCAAATTACCTCTTTGGAAAGTGGTAGCACAGAGTTCCCCACGTCGTATGTATACGATAGTAATACACGACATGCGGATAGGGTTAAGAAGCACCACAGAGTCTCTTTTTTTCCTCCTTTTTTAATTCTTCACATACTCAATGTCAAGTGTTCTTGTATTGTGTATATTTGTACCACGTATTAAATACAGAAAGATAATTGTACTTTAGCAAAGTCGGAGTAGTATTGCGGAATGCCCAGGATTGTTATGAAGCTGTGTTATTCTTGTCTTAAGGCCATCTGGGGGTTACATTTTCCTCATGTTTACCCAGTTTGACCTTACTTTTTTTTTCTCCATTTTTGAAACCTACATCCGTTTCTCTCAAAGTTTCAAGCGCCCGCTTCCATCAATTATGCTTAGAAGTATGTATAAGGATGAAAGGAATGATCGGTGCTTTAATATCAACTAAAAGTCATTGGCCTACTATATTTACACTCTATTGGAATGGGGCAATAAATCTTGCTTGAGAGATTCAAAACATTATAAGGTCTAGGGCCTAGATCTATACTCTCAAAGCAAAATGCGCCTCGCAAAATATCACTTCCGGATTTTCTAAAATTACAAAGACAGAAGCGTCAGCCTACAAAAGCGATCGGCGAAATAAAGAAATTTAGCTTTTTGATGCAAAACTGTCTCTAAACTGAAAAAACGAAGGGCGTCATGCTCTGGAAAATATTTTAAAGAATCTTTTGGCGAAAACCGCATGTCGATCGATGCAGCCATTAAAAAGCCTTTTGAATAGCAAAATTCGGCCACCACAAATAGATAATAGATCATCACCATTGCTATATTTAGTTAAGGGGTAAGGATTTAGGAAATTTCACTAGCAGATGGTGTTAACACTTTGCAGTCACACAGCCAGCAGTACAAAATACCCCATCTGGTCACACAACCAGCAGTACAAAATACCCCATCTGGTCACACGGTCAGCAGTACAAAATACCCCATCTGGTCACACGGTCAGCAGTACAAAATACCCCATCTGGTCACCCAGCCAGCAGTACAAAATACCCCATCTGGTCACCCAGCCGGCAGTACAAAATACCCCATCTGGTCACCGAGCCAGCAGTACAAAATACCCCATCTGGTCACCCAGCCAGGAGAGTGACTGTAACGGACTTCGGGGGCCTGGTGTAGAACTGCTCCAGGTTACTGGATCAGATCATTTTCACCATGGCATTATTGCACCAAGTGACCGCAAAGTGTTACAAGCATTCTTGCTTATTTCTCTATCGCTGTTGTTCTGCCTGTTTTTCTTTTTTTTTTCTTGGCAATAGATTCCTGTAATTGTGTGGATGTGTTCTTTAAGTGAAGGCCAAATTTTTTTTTGGAATCTTGTGGGTTGTTGGCGGTTTCTCCATCTGTCCTATGAAACATCTATCGTTCGTATCTCCCGTCCATCTTTTTTATGTTTATTGCTCTTTAATAACACCTCTAATCTTCGGCACTCGTATTAACTAATTTTGTTCTAAGTGCTGTAAAAAAACTCTTACTAAAAAAAACAGAAAAATGGAATCTTGTTTGATGCGAGTCTTAAAGTACCAATGATTTTCTGACCTCCCCACAGGACCAAGTTCTTTGAGTTTGACCAGAAACCGGTGTGCAAGGGCTGCTATGACAAGTTCCCGGGGGAGCTGAAGAAACGTTTGAAGAAGGCGTACGACGAGGCCATCAAGTCAGGCAAATGAGCTGCGCCTGGCATAAGGGAAGGTCGCCCGCCGTCCCGCCACCTCTAGGATCTACCAATTTACAGGCTCATAACTCCACATCTTACTTACTACGACTGTCCGTAGCCTTAATGCATGCAATATTTTGTTGGACGCCTTGTCCTCTCTTGGGCTTTCAGTTCATTGACAATCGCATCGTTCACCGAGACAGGGTTTCTCACCACTTGTTGACCTAAGGCCTATCTCCTGATTGGTACCAGTTTGTTCTGAGGACTGTTTACTAAAACTTCTTTTAAAAAGTTTGCAGACAACTTCAATGTCTTTCCAGAACACAAGATGCTGATTTGCTGTCCTCTAGTTGAGAAACCCTGTTCCAAGACCTACACAATTTGGAAAGCAAGTAATGGAGAGAGCTTCTATTTTTGTTTTTTTGCTTTTTTAAAATTCTACATTTGTGTTGGCCCTTTTAAGTCACATTATTTGTCGCTCTAAATCCTTTAAAAGGATGTTTTTATGGGCCCGCTGTTTCTATAGAGACACATTAGTAGTGAAACTTTTTGCCTCATTGTATTATCTTTCACCAGGGAACATCCCTTCTTTGAATTTTATCTGGCCTTATTATTTCATCGAACACGAATGCAATGTCGCGTTTGGGGCCAATTTGTTTGGAGGAAGGATTTCAATTGTAAGTGCCAACTCAAGACTGGATGGAAAGATTGAACCTGCTCACATGTAGAAGGAAAAACCAAACTATTACTCTTATCTAAAATTCTTTGAGTGTGACCTAAACCTTGGGTTTCTCTCTGCTTGACGATGCGAATGGTCAGAGGGAGGAGAGACGGGGTCGCTATCAAGGAGGATATTCCCGCCCCCCCTCTCTCTCTCTCTCTCACGTCCTGTGACTCAAGAAAAGAAAAGACTGCCAACTGTCAGTGTCTACCTGTATCGGTATTATCAGTGGCCTCATGACCGTATAGTCTTACGTTTGCTGCTGCAGCAGTCAAGTCTTGATATTTCTTCCCACTTTTGGTTAAGCCGCCTGGATGGAGCTCTGCTTGTATGGGCCTTTGTCAGTTTGGTACTGTTTGTTTTATTGTAGTAAAGGTTACTGCTTGTGCATTTTTGGAGTTGAAGGACTAAAGGCGTACTTTTTAGCAGCAATTTTTAGAGCTTTGTAAAACGGGTTTTTGCATATTTTACAGTGAGTTCAGTTTATATGACGTTTTCAAAGACAACAGGCTTAGCTATGGATGGAGGTAAGGATTAGATTGTGGTACGGGATGTAAGACTGGTGACTGAAATTTTAGAAAAATGTTTTGATTTTTTGTCGTAAAACTTATTGACTGCTCAGTGAAAGACCCGGTTTTACGTCACCTTTCACTATGGCGTATCGCAGTCTTGCACTGAGCTGTCGATATATACATGTAGCTTTACATCACATGCATGTTTAATCGAGAATCAAAAGGAATGTTTACTTTGTTTTGGAGAGAAATTGTAAATTTGTTATACTGCTGTAATTCATTGTAAGAAAAGCAATAGGAGTGTGATACTTTTTCCTAAGGGTCTCGTTAAGATTCTTCCTTATTGCACTCTATGGCTGCTTCCCTTGGTTCCCTGGTGTTGGCCGTTTGTGTTCTCAGCTGGGCAGAAGGGAGGCACGCCACAAAGGACAGCTGCTTCTTGTTTTATTGCACCCAATCTTTTTTTACATCATTGTGCCTACCCTTCCCAATTTTTTTTTTGTTTGTTGTTTTGTTGGGGGTGGGGTGGGGGGGGGGGGCTTCAGCAATTACCGTAGGGGTATATATGGCCAACCTTTACACTTAGGGGCACTTTACTCGTACATTAAAAAATGTATTTGCCCGTTGCTCCTCAGGCTAATTTGCTTATTGTTAGACTGATGGGTTTTTGGTGAATCTAAACTGTAGACAGTGGGCATGGCATGCAATTTACCACCCAGCCAGAATGGGGAACTCATTTAACAATGTGTTGTGTGTTAGAGAAGAGTGTGCATACGCAAAATAATAAATATAACATAACTTCATTATTCTGCTTCAAATAAGGTCTTTATGTGCTTTGACTAATATTGATGTGCGGAGTATGAAAAAGCTATTATGATTTTTTTTTTTTTACCTACAATATAAAAAAAACATTTGGAATTAAAAAATTTTATCTGTCAAGAGAAACATCAGACTAGAGGAACTGTTGTTCGCGTGTGTGGCCACCTTGGCCGGCAAGCAAACTATCTGGCGTCACTAGACGTCGGCCTGACGACTTGGAGGCATTGAGAATTCTGTGAGACCTCTCATGTACGTGCTCAAGTCGACCTCAAATGGCAGCCTGAGGATTAGCGGGCATTGGGGAAAAAAATTTTCTTTTAAAAACTGTATGAGTAAAGGCCCCTAACACACAAGGGATTTGTATCACTGTTGCTCCTGTGGCATGCACCTATGTTGTACACAAGGAGCGTGTTGGTGCTAGATTAAATGTTCTTGTTCTCTTGTTAGCACGATTGTTTGCATTTGTCCGTGTGGCACTGGGTTTTGTTGCTTGTAATTTATGTGTGGTACTGTGTGGTACTGCGTTAAACACTGCCGAAAATTCTGTTGATGTAAAGTGTTGACAGAGAATCCTGGCAAAGACGTAGGATGGTTTCTTTCTTGACACTCAACTTTCAAGTGCTCATATTTTTATGGAAAAATATATTATCTGACAGCCAGTTTACAGTAAAGAATGATTTTAAAACTTTTTTTTGGCTCTCTTTTACTTTTTGACAAGAGTTTGAGAATTATGTGGAAGACTCCACGAAACACCAGTTTAAAAAGTGACGTGTGACTGTCTTCTTACACCAGGCAGTCAATCTGGTCACGTCAAGGTGATGTGCATCGCCCTCTTCTCTCCTGGGACAAGGAAAAAATTTGAGACTGGTCTGAGATTCCTGAAATGAGAGAGCGTAGCGTCTTGACCATGAGGACAAAGTGCCTTCTGTACGCGCTCCCTCCCCACTTGAATTTGAATCCAATAAGGAATTCTTACAGAAGAACCTAGTTTGAAGTCTGAGAATATTGCTACAGTCGACTCGGCTTGTGTTGAACTCGCTCGAGTAGATCTTTTGTTAAGTTGATAATTTTCTCAGGTCCCAGAACCTCTTGTTCTTTACGACTGGTCCCAACGATTAAGTTGGATTTCGGATGAGTTCATCTTTTTTCACTCCCCCGACATCAACTTCACTCATCCATTGTGAACTGTAGTACTAAGACCACGTTTTAATCTATTTCAAACTCTTGGGAAGCTTAGTCCTGATTCTGGATAGATTCTTTTTCTCTCTCCCCATTGTGGCTATAATCTTGTACTATCCCCAAGTCATGTAATGTTTTGAAAATGGTGACTATGAGTGTATGACATTACCTTACTGGTTGGCTTTTTTCCCCATATATATATATATATATATATATAAGAGAAAGCATCTGGTTGTTTGTCTTGATTGTCTGTTTGTTTGAGTGGATATAGTTGGAAGTCGTCAGCAGCGAATTTAGTGACTGAAGAGTGTGTCATTCTTTAAACATTTATTGCTTCTAGTTCAGTGTGCATGGTGCCGCATTCTTGTGTATATCAAATGCTTGTAGTTCTGTGTATAGGTTATATATAATATATATATATAATCATCTGCCTTACGATTTGTACAGACGTTTGGTTCAACACGTACCGGAATGTAGACAGTCATCTAGTGCCTCCATGAATAAGTTATTAATGGTTTGTACAAAACATTGTTTGGAATGATGTCTACCTCTGTGTTTGCTATTTCATGTTGGAAAAATTATCATCTAAATTGTGTTGATGAGGGTGTTAAAAACATTACAGTCGCACTTGTGTAAGTATGACAAGTCTCCACTGCCCAGGGAGAAGTGGTCATCTTAGACAGGTGTTCCTCTTGGACAGTGTCATGAAACCGACACAACAAAATGCAAGGGAGGGAGTGGGAAGTGGTGTTTATCACAGGTGGTGGTTTGAGCAGGTCCGACTGTATTTTTGATGTTTGGCTCTGATCCTGAGGGTGAATGTACGGGGCAGGCTGTTTGTCAACATTATGCTATTCCCTGAGAGCAGGTTCCGTATGTTCTAAGATTGCTGTGAAAAAACTAGTCCTGGACTTTCAGCTAGGGTGTGTCATTTATAAGCTCAGTTAGTACCATGCTGGGCTGTGGTGTGGATGACACTGGTTCCAATTCCAAATGGGCTGTCCTTGAATTGGATTTTATTTGGAGTTTTCAAGGCTGTCACCTCCGTGACTGAGTCTTGAGGAGATGTGTGTTGTACTTGGAGAAAGTGCCGCCAACAGTGCTGTACTTGGGGGTAGCACCCATCTGATAACTTACACTGTTGAACTTGGGGATAACACCCGTGTGATAGCTTTCACTGTTGAACTTAGGGGTAGATCTACCAGCCTCTGTGGTGTAGCGGTTAGGCACTTCACTGTCACACGCTGAAGACCCAAGTCGATTCTCGAGTGGGGAGAGAATTTATATCGAGTGTCCCTGTTTTTCTGCTGGGATGTTTGTGTCCCTCTACGTCTGGGCTGGCCCTGACGGGCAGGGACGGGAGCCCGCCTCCTTGTTGATCTAAAATAGGTCAGTGGGTGGGGAAAAACACTTACAAGTCCCCCAAAATCTTGGTGGTAGCGCCTCTTTAACAACCTTAGTGTTGAGCAGTGTGCAAATGCCTCCTAGTGTAAGATTTGAACCTGTTCAGTGTGGAAGGGAATGCACACGCCTGTCTCCTGAACACATCTGTCTACCATTGTGATTGTTTCTCTCTGTCACTTCTAGTTCCTTCTCTTCCTCTCGTCTCATTTTGTTTTTCTTTGGCCTTCTTGTCTTTTCGTCTTTGTCTCTGCCTTTTTTCTGCTTCGTGTTTCTATCATATTATTATGACATAACAATAGCTGTTTTAAATTATTAAAGGGACATTACCTGCTCTAACGCAGGTAATTATTACCGATATGGAACGTGTTGAGTTGTCTCTCTTGTCGCTGTGTATCGTCAAAATTTCTAAAGTGTACAAATAGCACAATTCACAATATAGTGCATGACTGGTCTATAAAATGGTTCAATCTGTTTTAATATAGAATCTTTTAATAAATACCTGTCGAACCTGTCCAAGACAACCTCCCTCCCATTGTCACGGGAAAGTGGACGTGTCTTAGACTGGTGGTCTTCTTGGGCAGGTCATCTTCACCGAGGTAAAAAAAACAAAACATCCTTCCAAAGTGTCAACTCGTTGGAGGTGCTTGCTGCAGGCTAAGTACTGCTGTACTGTTCTGTAGGGCCCACGAAAACGTTTCTATATTTTACAAATTCCAAACACCAAGAGAGTGGGTGGTTGGCGGGTGCTCTGGTGTGGTTTGCTTCTTCTTTCCTATCAAATATCTGTCTCGCCCTTATCTCCCCTTCTTCTTTTTTGTGTTTGTTACTCTCTTGTAACACCTCTAATTTCTGGCGCTCATATGACCATGCAGTTGCGAGCGCCGTAAAACCTCTACTAAAACAAACAACAAACACCAAGAGATCTTTACGGTTTACCCACAGATGTACACTATAGGCACATAACTCTATGGGTTTGCCATACACATCACATATAACCTCCCAAGATGTTTCGTCCTTACGCCTACCTAAGATGACTAGGGGGCTCCCTCTTGCCTACCTGAAGATCGGGGATGTGGTGTTAAACTCTACTGTATTGTGAATTTGATAAGACTTTTAGTGGGTGGTTGGCGGGTGCTCTGGTGTGGTTTGCTTTTTCTTTCCTATGAAACATCTATCGTCCTTAGCCTTATCTCCCCTTCTTCTTCTTTATCATGTTTGTTACTCTCTTGTAACACCTCTTAACTCTAATCTTCTGGCGCTCATATGACCTTATGCAGTTGCTAGCGCCGTAAAACATCTACTAAAACAAACGGTTTACCATACACATAGGACCTCCCAAGATGTTTCGTCCTTAGGCCTACCTGAGATTGATGACGAAGGGCTCCATCTTGCCTACCTTGAGATCAGGGATGTGGTGTAAAACTCTCTACTGTACTGTGAATTTGAAAAGGGGGCTTGAAGAAGAAGCTGTGTTCGCCCTGTAGTACATGTATCGGCACTGATTGTCCTGTGTACATTTTACTGACCAGAGCACCGGCCAAATAGTGCTGCTGCTCAAACTTGCAGACCGGTATCGAACTAGCGACTGTGGTATTATCTCTAATTTAAAAAATAAAAAAAGGTATCGAAACAGACCCAAAAAATAGTAAACAAAAAAAAAACCCTCAAGAGAAATATTTACACACTCTTCAAACTGAACGCAGCTTGCTTTTTTCTGTTTATACAGCAGTTCTGATGTCACAGAACGAACAAGTACAATATGTGGCATTGTGTTGAAATCAAGGCACTCGTCGGAATAATGGAATAAAAAATAAAAAGCCAACATGTTCTCTCTTATAGAGCAATTTTTAATACATGTAGGCTACTTCTGTGATTCTTTACATTTCTGTGTCAATTTTATTGAAAAGCGTTGATAAAAGGTACCAAAAATAAAATGTTAATGTAAATCGACTGTTTCCAAGCACTCTCAAACTTTTGCGACCTCTGTCATTTTTTTTTCGTGATTGTCTTATACAGGTGGCTGTTAGTGTTATACTATAGTGCAGGTTCGGCTGTATCTCTGTTAGTGTTAGTGTTATACTATAGTGCAGGTTCGACTGTATCTCTGTTAGTGTTATACTATAGTGCAGGTTCGACTGTATCTCTGTTAGTGTTATACTACATGTATAGTGCAGGTTCGACTGTATCTCTGTTAGTCTAGTGTTATACTACAGTGCAGGTTCGACTGTATCTCCTCCGTCCCACTCGGCCCAGGGGCGTCAACAGCCTTGTGGTTACACTACTGGACTCGTAATCGTGAGGTCAGGGGTTCGAGCCTCCGAGTTTAACGTCCATCCCCGAAGGAACGAGCCAATAGGAAATTCATAAAGTGCCTTTCCCAAGGACAGAACGTCAGACCGAGCTGAGGCTTGATCCCCAAAACCTGCAATCTCACGATTACGAGTCCGGTAGCGTAACCCCTGAAATAACCTAAATAAAGTGTTGCTTAGAGCGTAGTTAAACCTACCATTTCACACTCGGACTGGATTGACCCTGGCACCGATAGGAACTTAGGAAGGGTAAAAAAAAAAAAAATTTTAAAAAGTGTGTCGTTTGGGGTCGTATTTGCAATCATAATTTCATCTTTTGACAATGAAACAAGAGAAGCATTTAGATTTTAACAAAACGCTGACTCTAGCAGTAAACAAACACTCCTCGGGTGTCATACTGTCGTCGGGTCATCTGGTAACATTAATATGTAACACCTTTTGTTGGCACATCGACTGTCTTATACTTGATAATAGGAGCCTACTTATAAGTCAACGAGCATATCATGTCAGATTCCTGCATCACCTTTACAAAGATGAAAGTCAATGAAACGTTTTGATTTCGCCTTTGACACGTAAATGAAAATCAGGGGGTGAAATATATATAAAAAGTGGTAACATAATATATATAACATGTTAATAAATGTTAAAATAGATAAATGTATTTACGGAAAGTACTACCATCAAGATTTGTGCTGATGTTGTTAACTTAGCTCAAGGCTTTGGTTGGTGTCAGGGATATATTTGCGTAATGTCAAGATTAATTTTTCTGCTTACTTTGCTATCTTCTGAAAAGTTTTTCCGCTGAGGTTCGACAACCGGTCAACGCTAGATCAAGTATATTTGTTTATCGTGTGCGTGCGCGGTACCTTGACACAAAGGTTAGGGGCTGAAGACTGAGGTGTTCCCCGGCCGATGATAAACAACATAATTTGTATTATATTCCTAGGTGGTAGAGTATAGGACCAGAGGTTGGGGGGGGGGGGGGGTTGTTGTTATTGTTGTTGCTGTCGTTTTGGTTCTGTTGTTATTTTTTTCGATGTTGCTGTTGTTGTTGTTGTTGTTCCCCCTGTAACGAAGTATGACGTACGACGGCTGATATAATATAACAGCTATGTACATGATAACAAAATCAGAAAATATATAAATAGCTTGGAAACGGGGTAGAGATCTACAGTCTACTCATGGCAGATCAATTCGTAATCTCACGTCACTCCATCCTTGCGGATGGTTGGTGGAAAGCACCATTGGCAGGTCCTACTTATTTTCTTTCCTTCTGTTGTTTCTGTCTATCCGTCTTGCTTACATTTTCCCCTGTGCTGAAACTAGAAGACGACCGGTGTTTGTTTTTTGTGCTGATGTGCTTACCTTTACTCGAACTTGAACTCACTAAAAATGGCCGGGGGGAGGGGGGGGTTGTGGCTGTTTCTGTGGTTTTGTTTTCGTTGTTGTGGTTGTTGCTGCTGCTGCTGCTTCTGCTGCAACTATTGCTTGCTGTACGTAAAAGAAAATATATTTCGCGTCCAAAAGAAACTTTAAAATGTATTCACCCATCTGTCGTATCAAAATCCTGCACTAGATCTACCCACTCATGCGGCACATCAATTATTTAAAACTGAATATGCTGCATCATCTGACACATTAATTGATTAATAATATGTATTTCATCTACACCTGAGATATGGTCACTAAAATTGGCTTTTAAAAATCAGACTTGGCAAAATTATGTGAAATCAAAGAAACGTAAGTGTGTGTTCGCACGTGTATTGAGTTAAGTGCATTGTCGTTGTGGAATGGACGTGCATTGCAAATCATCGCTAGATCTACGACAGTTATTTTAACTAACTTAGATTACCTTTTTCCAAAATGTACGTTTTCTTTACCCTTTTTTCTCTTTTTAAATCTGTTGTTACTCTAATCTACCCTCGTTACACAAATTAATTTTGTTGCTTTGTCTTTGAATACTGTAAGAATGGGTGGTTGGCAGGTGCTCTGTTGCGGTTTGCTCCTTCTTTCCTATCAAACGTCTATCATCTTTATCTAGGCACTTCAGTGAACGCGCTTACTATGGCGTCATTTGGCTTCGGAAAGTCCCATTGGGTTTTGTTCCGGACATGACGTCTCATCGCGACAGTGGGTTCAAACTGCCCATATTTTTGTTTAATTTAGGGGACCAACAGTCAAGTCCGATACATGTCTTTAAACACCTGTGGATGGCCTTCAAAACGCTTCTTTCCAGGTCGATGTGCGACTAATGAGTGTCGAAATATTTCAAGTTGAAAAATAGACAATTTTTAACCATTGATTTTTGATAAATTTTCTCGTCAATTTTTTTCAAACTACACTTGTTGTTAAACCATTCTTTGTTCTTCCAGAAAACGTTTGAATGGTTATCGTAGAAGTCTTACCTTGGCTAGTGTAGTCTTACCCTTTTATCAACCAAATCCGCGAAAACCTAGCTGAACCCTTCCACCGTGACATCGCGCAGAGTCGTGATGTCACGCATTTTCGCCTTGAGCTTTTGGCTCCCTCTCTTCATTGTTTGAAATGTACGAGACAGGGAGATACACCGCCAAGAGATTTTTAAACTTTAGTTCAAAAAGTTAATCAATTTTGGTAATGTTTTATAATTACTGACCTCATGTTGTGTCTTAGTTCATTCGACAGTATAAGGAAATGAGACTTTTTAGACCCAAGTATTTCCTTTTCACTGAGCTCCCCCCCTCCATCCTTTTTTCCCCTGCCCAAAGCCTTTCGTTGTGTAGGCCTGGGGCCTAGATCTAGTATGAAGAGTCCAGACTAGTGTTGTTAACACAGTCAAAAAAAATTGGGACGCCTATTAAAGTATCTGATGCAATTATTTGCTTGATAAAGTTTCTTAGGTCTATTGTTAGTGCAGATCCAGATTTTCTTTCTTTTCTGTCGTACGAACGAGAATGAAAAATGCTATGTACTACTGGATTGTGGGATCCACTGCATGCCCCCCGCCCCTCTCTCTCTCTCTCTCTCTCTCTCTCTCTCTCTCTCTCTCTCTCTCTCTCTCTCTCTCTC